TTGTAAGGCACCTTACAAAAAAACATAATCATTAATAAACTAATTGAAATTTTTATTAAATAAATATAATAAATAAAAAAAATGAAATTACATTTAAAGGGAAGAATAAAGTCAGAATCATTCACAAACCAATTCAACATTACTTACTTACTAAATCTCACAACAAAATAAAAAATATTAACAAGCAATTCCAAATTAATTAAATTAACATTAAAAAGTAAAGAAAATAAGTTTACCTTTAAAGGAAAATTCATTAACTACAGTAAGATAATCTTCATCCTTTTCTTCCGGTTCAAAATCATACAACCAATTGCGAGTTTTACAAAAATCTCAACATTTTTAGTAAGAGTTTAGATATTAATTTGTTCAAAATTTGACCCCCTACACTAAAAGAAGATTCAGAAGCAACTGAAGTAATTGAAATGTCCAATATATTTCTAGCCATGCGAGAAAGAACAAGATAAGAAACCCTTTGTTTTCCAATACTCCAAAATATTTAAACTCAGTATCTGAGTACGAGGGAGAAGGATAACTAATGTACTAATCAACATCTGATCGTCCACTCCTTGAAGCAACTAAATGACATCAAAATTCTGAAATAAAATGAAACAAAATTAATAAATTATGAAAATAGAATACAATAAATTAAAAATTGAATATTAAATTCTGAAAACTAACCTGAAATAAATCATATTTTTAAATGATCGAGGCCGACTGGAACTTGACACACTTCTCTCTAAAGATGGGTTACTTTGGAAACAAGAAAGAAGAACCACATACATTTTGAATAAATAACTATTACTCAGATACTCATTATAAATGACACTTACCCTTCGTTGAACCTTCTCCTCAACATAAAGAACATTGTACAACTCCATCAAAAGTTGTAATTTATATCAAGGATCAAGCAAAATAGGAAAAGGCATAATAATTGAGTGATCAGACCAACATTTCTCATATAGTTCAAGCATGTGTCTGCCATTACATAAATACCTTCACAAGGATCATTGTGAGCATCACACAACAAATTTTTAATTGCAACAACATTAGCCAAATACAGGTTAGAAGTGGGATATTTAGATCCAAAGAATAAAATAGTAATTTTATAAAATGGCTCAAGAAAATCACATATAGTTTGAACAGTTTTCCACTCATTTTCAATAATCATATTCAATTCATTTTCCCTATTAACAACAAGTTAATGGCTAATTTTCATCAAGTGCCCTAATCATTAAGTAAGTAGAATTCCATCGAGTATGTATCCCAGTAACAACTTACCACGAAAAGAAGAATCACATTCTTTAACATCACAATTTAATAACATAAGAATCAATTACCTTCAAACCTTTTTGAACTATCAAGTTCAAAATGTGGGTAGCACACCTTATATGGAAGTACTTGCCATTGTATGAAAGAGAAGAAATGACATTCAAATCATTTATAAATCACTTGATCATTTTATCATTTGCAGAAGCATTGTCAAGAGTCATGGTAAAAGCTTTTCTTTCAAGACTCCACTTACATATCATCTATTTCACAAACTTAAAAATTAGCTCAGCATCATGGGGTAGAGGGAAACGATGAAAATTCAATATTTTAGACTGAAGTTTCCATTTATTATCAACATAATGTGTAGTGAGAGCAAAATAAGAATTTGAAGTGCAAACATATCATCAATCACATGTAAAACAAATACGACTTGAAACAGAATGCATTGAATCAAGTAACATTTTTTATGCTTTTCATTCTCCAACAAGTAATACTTAGTAACATTATACCTTGAAATATCCTTCACATTAGAATCAAGATAATGAAGCAAAATCCTAAGTATTTCATGCTCAACTATACTAAAAGCATAACCAAGACACAAAATAGCCTCAGTAAATAATTCACAATATTATTTTGATAAAAAAAACTACCATAGTAGGTTAACATAAATAATCCTTAAAAGCTTGACATTTATCAATATGTCTTTTAGGGTTAGATGTAGTAATATAAGAATAAGTTTTATACCTTTTGTTTTGCAATACTTACACTCGACATAAAGACCACCATCTACAGGCTTGATGAAAGTATAATGGTCCTAAACATGAGAAGTTCTTCTCCCGAACTCGGACGAACATGTACCCTTCCTCTTAGAGGAAACATTAAGATCAACTGCTTCAGACAGTTGATCATTTGCATCACCTTGTGAAAAAATAAAAAATATTAATAAATAGAAAAATCATAAAGTGAAAAAAAACATATTTTACCTCTTTCAGAATGCAGCGGTTCATTCTATTTTGCTTGTAAGTCTCCTACAAAATATAAAAAAAATTATTAGTCTCGAAATAAAAACAAATACAAATTAAAAATTGTTTTTACCTGGAAAGTTCATCTCGTAAGATAGATTATTATCGAACCCTAAAAAAAGAAAGGTTTTAAATGGGGAAGAGTCTCGGTTAGAGAAGAATAAGGGGAAGAGTCTCAGTTACAAAAGAAGATGAACAGTGTTAGGGTTTTTATAAATAGAAGAAGAAGGGGAAGACTGAAGAGTCTCGGTTAGGGAAGAAGATGAACAATGATGGGTTTTGGGGTTTTGAAGAATTGAAAAAGAATGGGAAGGGGAAGAGTCTTGGTTAGATAAGGGGAATAGGGGATGAATAGAAGAATAAGAATGTGAAGGGAAGGGGAATGGATGGCGAACAAAAGAAAAAGAAGAGGAAAGAGAAGAGTCTTGGTTAGAGAAGGGGAATAGAGGATGAATGGTGTTTTAGATTTGGGATTATGAGAAATAAAAGAAGGGGAAGAGGAAGAGTCTTGGTTGAAGAAGGGGAAAGGGGGATGAATAATATTTGTGATTTAGGATTTAAGGTTAGAAAAAAAGATGAACAATGCTTCAATTTGGGGGTTTTTTGATATTTAAAAATAGTTTGGGAAAACATGTTTGTTGTTTGTAAGGATCAAACAGAAAGGAAAGAGGAAGAGTCTCAGTTGAAGAAGAGGAAAATAAGATAAATATGTTTGGATTTGGGATTTAGGGTTAGAGAAAAAGATGAATAGTGTTTTGATTTGGGGGTTTTGATCTTTAAAAATAGGTTGGGAAAAAGTGTTTGGTGTTTGTAAGGATCAAATGAGGAACAAATGATGAAAAAAATTTGAATTTTGGCTGGGTTTGATTGAGTGAAACAAATGAGGTGAGTTATTTTTCTGTTTTCGATAATCAAAAAGGGGAAATGGAAGAACACGTGAAGAAAAATATGAACATGTTGGGTTTTGATCCAAAACAAAGGTTTGACCAAGGTTTTTGGTGTTTGTAAGGATCAAACCCGAATTTTATGGATGAACAAGAGATGAACAGTGGGTGTTTGATTAAAAATTTTGGGATTTTGGTGTTTGTGGCTAAGAATTCTAGAGAGAAGACATAGAATTTGAGAGAAACGAAATTCTAGAGAGAGAGCAAAAATGATAAAATTTCTAAAAATTAAAAAAATTGGCTATAAATATTGCTTAAATTCATATCTCTAGGTCTTTCCTCTAGTTTTTAAATAATTCAATTTAGTCCAATAATATGTATTAATTTAAGTTTTAAATTTTTAATTTATTCAATTTGATCCTACGAATTTTATAATTTAATACTTAATACTTATATTTATATACTTTAATACTTATATACTTTATATTATACTATAAACTACAATGTAAGTATATATATATATATATATATAATGTATTAATCTATGCATAAGTATAATGTATATTATATATAAATGGATCATATTATCATAACATTCATCATATATATATTATAATTGTGTTATTTTTTTCCTCGACTTTTTGAAATTAATGCAATTCAGTCCATTTTACAATTTTTTTATTCGATTATTTTATGCTGCTTATTGTATTTAAATTTTATATTTGTAATTTTATATTTGTTCAATTTAGTCATTCAAATTATATTTGTATAGGAAATTGACCTATATTTATATATTTGTAATTTACTTCAAACCCTATAAAATATAAATCACTTAATAAATTTCATTTCAAAATATGTTCACCAACTTTTTAAATGTATGCAATTTAGTACATTTTTATAATAATATCAACTTCACGTTTTATAATTAATTCAATTTGATCCCTCATCCATATGTGTTGTTTAATTTATTTAATTTTTTTATTTCCAATTTCATGTTTGTTCAATTTGATACTTCAAATTATATTTTTTTAATCAAAATTGACCCATAATTATTAATATTTTTGTAATTTATTGTTAATAATATATAATTACGAATTACAATTCTACATTCTCACTCACTTTCATTAAACATTGAAATGTGAAAAATAATTAACCAAAAAATGATCCAAACTTGAATTTTATTTGTCAATGATGTCACTAATTTAAACGAGATAAAAATAGAAGTCCCATTGAATCTAAACCATTTTGACATGAAGCAAAACATGAATAATTACTTAATCTAAGCAAGTGGGTTTATGTATAAATCATTCCCTAGCTTATTATCCCACCAATGTGGGATATGGTTTCCCATTTTCCTTACACAACATAATTCACATATACTCAACTTTGAACTAAATTTCTCATTTATCACTCAACTATTTTAATCATATGAGATATTGTTGTAAAGATCTCACGAAGTAAAATATGAATCAGTAAATTCATTATTCGATTCTCAATCTTTACCCTTAGAAAATATGTCTCAAAGTCTCCAGTTTATCACAATATTTCCAACAAAAACAGTGTAAGAGTGAAAAGGCAGTATAGTAATCGGAAGACGATCGAAGATGGTGGAAACAATGCAAGAGGAGTGATGAACGGCAGTTAGGAATAAAATCAAGATTGTTGGTAGAAATCAAGACTGAACCAGAATAAATCAGACATTTTAATGTATTTTCATCAATCATCATAAGCTCACCCCATAGGTAAGCAATATTTTTTTTGAGAAGTTTTTATCATATTTTAACAGCTTTTAAACTGTTTCAAGCAATTCTTCCTCGCTTCCAAATTAAGCCATGTCTACTTCCTTGAGATGAATCCAAGCTTCTATGCCATCACCATTTGCAGTATCCATGAAAACAACCAGATTCTTGGTGCTCAAATTTGCAGAACTTACCCATACTGGTTTTCGCCAACCAAAATCAGCTTCGTATAGTGGAAACCTGCATAAACTTGTGAAGATAAAAGGGATAGTCTTTCCCTTAAGGGTGTGTTTGGTTGGGGAATGTGAGATTCCCATGAGAATGGAATCCACATTCCCCGGGAATGTAATCCACATTCCCCCGTTTGGTTGGCTGTGAATGTCATTCTCGGTAATTTTACATTATCAATAGTAGATTTTTTGGGTATATTACCGGGAATGTCATTACCTCTATTTCCTTAGGTATTGTTGGATTACCGACGTTTTGGACTAAAATGCCCTTAAAAAAATTCTTTCAAAAATATTCTTAATCTATCATTGAATAATAAAAATTATACGAAGGTTAAATTACAAATTTATCCTTAAACTATTTTAGATTTACAAAAAAAAAATCTATAATTAAAATTTTATATAAAGTTCAGGGGTTAAAATAAAATTTTACCATTTCATTAAACCTTTTTATATTTTCAATTTTGTAAAAAAATTATATAAATTTTATGAATTTAAATTTTTAAAAAAATATATATAAATATTTTTCAAATTGTTAAAAAAACAAATATATAATAAGTACAATTTGGTCAAATATACATTCCAATAATCTTTTATTCCGTAAACTAAACACATCAACCAAACACAAAATACAACATTCCCAGTAATTTTATTTTCTCGTAATATTTATTGATTTTTCTAATGGAGTCTCTCATTTGGCTAACCAGATTATATGATCCATCGTCTTCTTCCTTGTCCATGGAAGGAACTGTTCTTGCAAGGTGAAAAATGTTCCCAAAAAACTGAGCTGAAAGCGGCGGCTCAAATCTTGTGCGTAAATTAACTGTATGAAGAATCACGTAGAACTCATTATGGCTTGGTTTTTCTTTAATGGAAGCAATGAAACGAGTCCATATGGAAGCTGATTTTGCTTCAATACGTGAAGGGTGGATGATTTCATTTTCAGTTGTATATTTTGCTCTGATTTCCTCTATTTTAGATGAAGTAAACACCACCATTTTTGTAGCTAAGTTCTTTTCACTCGTCGGCGTCAACCACAATTCAGGCGCCGATAAGTTTTGCAGCGGAAAAAGCTTATCCGATACGAATTCAGGCGTAACTATGTTCTTATTATCCCCACGAGAAATCGCTACCCATGTATTCAAAAACGCGAAATACGATGACGCGTCGCCGATCTTGTGAGAAATACACAAACCGATCTCAATTCCACCACAGTCGAAAGCGTTGAACTGGATTCCCATAGGCAGTTCCGCAGCATCATCGAGAGGAAAAGGGAACAACTTAGAGAAAATAATCTCAGTGACCAAAAATCCCATATAATATACGATTTTAACTAACTTTTTCCGGATTTGCCAAAATGACCAACAAAATCGCAATGCGATCGCTAATTCACAACGCGATCTCCATTATCGTAAATCAGTTTCCAGATTCGCAACGCGATTATGACTATCGCAATGCGATTTTCCAATTTCGCGTTGCGATTTTCACAATTCGCAATGCGAATAAGTAATTCGCAATGCGAATAAGTAAATCGCAATGCGAATTTGGAAAATCGCAATGCGATACTGACTATCACAATGCAATTTTCCTAATTCGCATTGCGATTTACGTATTCGCGTTGCGATTTTCATAATTCGCAATGCGAATATGTAAATCGCAACGCGATTAAGTAAATCGCAATGCGAATTAGGAAAATCGCAATGCGAATACGTAAATCGCAATGCGAATCTTACTATCGCAATGCTTCGCAATGCGATTTACATAGCGCCATTCGTATTAACGCGTATTTTTTTTTCAAATTCCAAACACGAATTTTTTCTTAATATATCGGAAACTGAACCGTCCACAGTAATCGCAACTCATAACCTCAAACCTAAAATCACAACACTCAGTCACATCTCCATCTCTCACTCTCTACGGCGAAATCCGTCCCCATCTCCAAAGATTTCCGTCCCCATCGCCGGCGAAATCCCTCACAACCATTCACGGTCAGAAATCCCTCACAATCATTCATAAATGGAAAATCAACATCCGATGGTTAGTTTTTTTTAATTATTTTTATTTTGAAATTTTTGCATTATTTTAGGTTTTTCATATTGAAATTGATGATAAGTTTACTGGTAATTTCAATAATAGATTAACCATTTCACTAGATTTCTTATTAAATCATTCGATTGCTGCCAATATGCTAAACTGTTAGTATTTAACCCTGTGAAGTTAGTATTTGTCTTTGTTTTGTCTTTTGGTTGAAGTAATGCAGAAGAAGAATAGTTTCCAGAATGAAAATCGCAACGCGGAAATAACTATCGCAACGAGAGAATCGCAACGCGAAATGAAAATCGCAACGAGATAATCGCAACGCGAAACCAAAATCGCATTGCGATTTTCATTTCGCGTTGCGATTCTCTCGTTGCGATAGTCATTTCGCGTTGCGATTCTCTCGTTGCGATAGTCATTTTCGCGTTGCGATTTTCATTATCTCGTTGCGATTTTCATTTCAACCAAAAGACAAAACAGTGTTGCAAATTTTAGTTTCAAGAATAAACTACTATTTATGTTTATTGTTTTTGGTATATCTTCACAGTGTAGTTTTTGGTATATCTAACTTGGTATGTTTATTGTTTTTGTAGAAATTTTTTTCGGCTTCATTGACATTAAGGAATAAAGTTAGCCTAGCCACTACAATTGCTTCAAAGCTTTCACCTGCACAAAGAAAATTATTTGAGGAAACCTGCTTCGGGCCATGGCTGAGAGTACATCATCCGGGTGGAGATGCTAATTTGACCCATTTGTGGCTTCAGACCATGACTAGCGATCTACCCGACAGTATACAACGTGGTGAGGAAGAGATATGGTTTCATTTTCCACCGGCGAATTGGGAAAATCGCAACGCGAAATTGGAAAATCGCATTGCGATAGTCATAATCGCGTTGCGAATCTGGAAACTGATTTGCGATAATGGAGATCGCGTTGCGAATTAGCGATCGCATTGTGATTTTGTTGGTCATTTTGGCAAATCCGGAAAAAGTTGGTTAAAATCGTATATTATATGGGATTTTTGGTCACTGAGGTTATTTTCTCAATAACTTATTGAGTTCTTCAGGGGCAGGATCGTGTAAGAAATCCAATAGTCGGTACTTGACTCGGGCTTCTTTAAAGGGAATCTCATCGTCGTTGCAGCCGACGAAGGTGTTGTTTTGATGCATCCTGCTAAGGGATAGAAATGGGTTAGTGCTTGGCAGGGAATAGCAGTTCGCGATCGCGATAGCATCCGCAAAATAGCGGTAGCGTTGCCTTCTGATATGACCGCAATCGCAATAAACTTGACATGACCGAAAATGCGACTGCGACCGCGATTTAAATCCCTGGTGCATGGGATATGGACAGTTTAAAGTGGTGGAGATGCTGGATGTTAATGTTGTTGGTTTGGACATTGGTTCTGGTCGGGTAGAACAAGACCAGATTATTATAAACCGAAGCTACTTCTTGATCGATTGAGGAGAGTTGGTGAGGGCGAAGTTCATGAGTGGTTGGAGAAGATGGCTTAATCATTTCTTTGAACACTACTTCAACTTCCAAATTCATCTTTTACGTTATTTCTAATCCTGAAGAATCGGATGTATTTAGGATGTAAACGATATATATATAGATATATATATATATATATATATATATACATGAGAATGATATATATAATTTATATAAATTTTAGTTTACATAAATTTATATATTTTAATTGTTGAAAGTAAACAAATAATAATGGGGCAGCTTGAAAAATGGTTTTGGGCGGCTAATGTAGTCAAAATTAGGTAACCAAATTGTTGAAAAAAATAAAGGGATAATTACTAAATATAATCCCTAAACTTTAGGATATTTATAAATTAGTCCTTAGGTTTTAACTATAAATACCCTAGCTCATTTAGCTTCAAAACTATCCCAAATCATTCTAGCTTTCTTCCAATACTAGAGAATTTAGAGAGTTTCTTGAGAGTTGTTTTCTCCTTTTTATCAAAAGTGAATTATCATTGTTTTCTCCTTGGTAGATCGAGAGAGGTTGTAATTCCTATTTCTCATAGTGAAATTCTTCTACCATTGCCGTGGTTTTACCCTAAATTTTTAGGAGTTCCACGTAAATTTTGTGTCCCTTTTATCTTCATTTTTATTTTCTCAAATTATCAGTTGCGATTTTGCTCTATCCGATAGCCATCTTCCGCAACAATTGGTATTAGAGCCAGATTAGAGTGTGTAATATCTGCTTATTATCTTTGTGGTTGCCACCAAAAGGTGGATCCTCCAACATAAGAAAGTAAGAAGTTATTACCCATTCTTTGAAGGTTCCAGAGAACTATTCACGATAGTGAAATAGTGGGAGCTATCCGTAAAAGAAGCTATGTCAACGAAATTTGATATTGAAAAATTCAATGGGTGAAATTTCTCATTGTGGAAATTGAAGAGTGGAAATTGAAGAGTGGAAATTGAAGATGATGGCCATCCTGAGGAAAGACGATTGTCTAGCAGCTATCAGTGAAAGGCCGATGGATTTCATAGATGACAACAAATGGATCGAAATGGACGGGAATGCTATGGCAAACTTTCATCTAGCATTAGCAGATGAAGTATTGTCAAGCATCGAGGAAAAGAAGACAGCTAAGGAGATATGGGATTATCTCACCAAACTGTACGAGGCCACATCGCTGCACAATAAAATTTTCCTTAAGAGAAAATTGTACACACTCGGTATGCCAGAATCTACTTCAGTGACAGAGCACTTAAAATACGTTGAACACTTTATTTTCTCAGCTTACATCCTTAAGCTGTAAAATAGGAGAACAAGAACGTGCTGAATTTCTACTTCAAAGTCTATCAGATTCGTATGATCAACTCATCATCAACTTGACAAACAATAATGTCACCAGTCTAGTCTTCGATGACGTTGCAGCTGATGTTCTACAAAAAGAAAATCGGCGCAAGAACAAGGAAGACATACAAGTAAATCTGCAACAAGCAGAAGCATTAACAACGATGAGAGGGAGATCAACAGAACGTGGCCAAAGCAGCAGTCACAAACATGGTAGATCGAAGTCGAGGAGCAAGAAGAATTTAAAGTGCTACAACTGTGGAAAGAATGGTCACTTGAAGAATGATTGTTGGAGTCTAAATAAAAACTCCAATCCACAAGGCAATACCGCAAACACTTCAGATGATGGAGATGCTCTATACTGTGAAGCGTCAACCACCGTGGAAGGAAGAAAATGATTTGCAGATATATGGCTCTTTGATTCGGGAGCAACATATCACATGACCTCAAGAAGAGAATGGTTCCATCATTAAGAACCTGCCTCAGAAGGATCTGTGTATAGTTATAATGATCATGCCTTAGAGATCGTTGGCGTGGGAACCATCAAATTGAAGATGTACGATGGAACAATCAAAGTTGTTCGAGATGTGCGGCACGTGAAAGGCCTGAAGAAAAATTTATTATCCTACGGATTGTTGGATAATAATGCAACAAGATTGAAACACAAAAAGGAATCATGAAGGTGTTCCGTGGAGCACTTGTGGTGCTGAAAGGCAAAATGATAGCTGCAAACTTGTACATGCTGAAGGGAGAGACTTTGCTAGAAGCAGAAGCCTCTGTTGCCTCATGTAGTTCAGATTCTTCAATGCTATGGCATCAGAAACTTGGACACATGTCAGAACAAGGAATGAAAGTTCTTGTGGAGCAAAAGCTACTTCCAGGCTTAACAAAGGTATTACTTACTTTGTGTGAGCATTGCATAACAAGTAAGCAACACCGGTTGAAATTCAACACGTCAAATTCTAGAGGTAAAAATGTTCTAGAATTAGTTCATTCTGACGTATGGCAAGCACCAGTTACATCCCTAGGTGGAGCAAAATACTTTGTCATCCTATTAAGAAGAAGTCAGATGTGTTTTCAACTTTCAAAATCTTCAAAGCGAGGGTGGAACTTGATTCTGGAAATAAGATCAAGTGTTTCAGAACAGATAATGGAGGTGAATACACAAGCGAATAATTTGATGACTTTTGCAGGAAAGAATGCATCACAAGACAGTTCACAGTGGCAAACACTCCTCATCAAAATGGAGTGGCAGAGCGGATGCACATAACCTTGTTAGAAAGAACAAGAGCAATGTTGAGGGATGCATGCCTAGAAAAATCATTCTTGGCAGAAGCAGTCAATACCGCCTGTTATTTGGTGAATCGAGCTCCATCAACTACA